TATTACTGCGGTATTGCGCTCTCTAATCACTATTTCTGTCAAATATTCAACTAAGTTAGACCTGAAAGCGTTTATTAATTGTGTGATATCCAGTGATAAAGCTTAATGCCTCATTCATAGTCATTCATTGTTAACTTTAAAGTTGAACACCCAATAACAGTTTCATTATAATATCGATGGAAAGCTTATAATGTGCAGAATACAATATATGTTTTTAATAAAAAATATATGACCCCACATATGCACAATGACTAATCAAAGTTTGTCACTACACCCCACTTCATCTAAGGTAATTCAGATTTCAAATTAAGCCTGTAATTCATGACGTCACAGAATGTACACCTTTCTATGCAGTGCTACAAAGACAAGCCTACACATGAGCCTACATCAATAGGAAAGGGGTTTTAGTTACTGGTGTGGTACTGGTACTGGTTGTCCTATTACTGTAGTTGTATAGTAGGAATATGCATGAAAAGAAATAATACTTGGTCCTAAAATGTATCTAGAAGACTTGCATCTGTCAACGATCTTCCCGCAGTTGATGCTGTATACCATAAACAATGCATAGTGAACTTTAAAACTGAAAAACAAATATCAATGTTATACTCTGTGAGCACAAGCACTTCCAAAATGGCTAAAACTGGCCGACCTAAGGATGAGGTGAAATTGACTGCATTCTTAAAGTAATTAAGTTCCTGGAGGAAAATGATGAGGAACAAACAGCAGTAGTTGATCACTAAGATGCAAGAGTATTTACTGGATACAGATCATGAGGCCTACAGTGGGGTATACATGAAAAAGAACATACAGGGGCACTTTGGTAAGAGGATTGTTATAACTGAACTGAACGGAAAGAACAACAAACCAAAGCAGGAGAAAATGAGGATCATAAGGACTGCTGCCTCACCGTATAAAGAATGACGTCAAGCTAAAGAATGACGTCAAGCTAAAGAAAATTGCAAGTGACGCGTTTACCCAACTCCTGCTGAAATGTCGTCTACCTTCGGAAGTTCCTATAGTGATCACTATAGGAACTTCCAGAGGTTGTTCAGCACCCAGGTGTTCAATGTGGAGCAGATTCCTGGAATTAATTGTGATGCAGCAGAATTTTAAAGCCACAGTTCTTGTCGGTGATGACACAAACCTTCTCATCTTGCTGATCTTCTACGCTGATCTGAATGCGAAGGACTTTTTGTTTGCACCTGATCAGCCCAAGGCAAACTCCAAGTAGAACCGAAGATGTAATATGAAACAGCTGAAGGAAACTCTGGGAAGGTAGTGTGTGTAACTACTTTCTCTTTGTCCATGTGCTTCTGTGCTGCCAGACAACGTCTCACATATTTGGATATAATAAGGCGTGCAGCACTGAAGAAAATCATGAAGAATGACGACTTTTTTGAGCTTGCCATATGGTACGTCAGCCAGCATCAGACCTGAAGGAGACAATTATTACTGCTGGAAGACACTCGTATGCCTGTATGGTGGTGACTCAACAGAAGTATTGCGTAAAGGTATCATTTAATCTTGTCTGCCTTATTATTAGAAGCAAAGACTTTGTCACCAACTTCAGCAGCAGCAAAGTTCCTCAGTCTGGGTGTGTACTATCAGATATCAGAATAGACAGGAATGGCAGACAACCTGACATCGGGAAACTGAGTTGGCACGTCATGGATGGGAAATATCTTCCAATAAAAACTGATAAAACACCAGCACCCGCATCACTCCTTAAGGTCATCAGATGTGGAAGCAAGAAAGACTGTGCAGCCAAGAAATACATGTGCCGGAAGTATGGGCTCCAATGTTCAACAGCCTGCATTGATTGTCGCGGCACTAGTTGCACCAACTCACCACCATTAGACCTACATGTAGAACTTGATGCTACTACTAATCAGCATGCCACATAAATGTATGTTTGTTGGAGACTACCAATTACTCTAATCAACTTAAAATATGTATACCAAACTGTAGGCCTCATGATCTGCATCCTGTAATAACAACTGAACTGGGATTGTACACCAACATTATTATAGCTGCTCTGAAATGCACCATAAGGTGAGAATCAACACAAAATGTATGCAAATTAACCAATTTTTTTGAAAATGTATGTGTATATTATATGCAAATTAAAGAACCAAATTATGATACATTTGAAACATAACAATATTTTACAACATGAATAAGCGTTGTCGCAATTATTCTGAATATATCATAGGACAAGAAATATAAGTATAATCAATTCTCTACAAAAATGCTTAATTTGGCAGCCATTTTGAATTCAAGCAGATTGAAACACTCATGCAACTGCCTGGGCAGATGAAACCTTGTGCAAACAAAAGCATTCCAGGAAATAACATTTTAGACTTTCAAAGTACACCCAAAGTATGCTAAAAGGTATGTATGGTGAATAATTTAACCAAATCTAGGAAAATTAAACCCTAGAATTGGTGGCCATTTTGGATTTATGTAAATTTGACACACTTCCACTACACGGATTTTGTCGGACTTTTAGTATGTCACTTTGGGGACTTTACTAGAATGCATTGCAGTGAAAAAAATGTTTTTGCAATTTGTTTAGTGCCACAAAAGCCCATACAAGTTGAACAATATGACAAAATCTATGTGAAAATCCTCGAAATAGCGGCCATATTGGATTTATGGAAATTAGGGACACTTTCACTACACGGATTTTGTCGGACTTTTAGTATGTCATTTTGGGGACCTTACTAAAATGCACTTCAGTGAAAAATATCTTTTTGCTATTTGTTATGTGCCACAACAGCCCATACAAATTGAACAGTATGACAAATCTATGTGGAAATCCTCGAAATAGCGGCCATATTGGATTTATGCAAATTAGGGTCACTTCCACTACACGGATTTTTTCGGACTTTTAGTATGTCATTTGGGGGACCTTACTAAAATGCATTGCAGTGAAAAATATTGTATTGCAATTTGTTTGACCTCTAACCACAATTTTCCTAGCCTACTGTGCTAGTAAGCTACTTTGACTGAAGCGCACCATCTTTGGGTGAAGCGCACCATCTCCAACTATGCATTACATTAGTAAAACATTCTATTACACTTACACTGGAAGAAGAACGGACAAAATTACCCGTTCTTTTACCTTCTCATTAATTTAAATACAAAAACATGTAGTATCTATCTTTTACATGTAAACGTAAGTAATGGTTTTCTACATTCTTTGCTTTATCATACAGATTCCCCCTCGGCTTTTAATAATGCTATGAGAGAGTCGAGGACGAACTCAACGCCAATAACAGATACAGGTATTACCGGTGAGTAAACAATGAAACACAGATAATTACCACTTCGACGATAAATGCTCTCTAAAATAATTTCCTTAGGGGTTTGTTGACTGTCCTCAGGAATACTTTTAAAGGGAGGATGGATTACATTAGTAAACAATTCTCCATTCTTTTATCTTTTCATTGATTTGAATACGAGAACATGGGGTTTAATTTCCATCTTTCACATGTAAAATTAAGTAATGTTTTTCTTCATTCGTTTGGTGAATTATACATATTCCCCCTCGGCTTCTAATAATCCAATAACAAAGTCGACAACGACCTCAACGTCAATAACAGAAACAACTATCACCGGTGAGTAAAAATAAAACCCCGATAAATAGCACAAGAAATCTTTAAACCTCGATGAAAAATTCCCTCTATTCATTCTCTTTAAGTGGTTGTTGATAGTCCTCATGTGTACTTTAAATGGAAGGATGAATAACATTAGTAAACCGTTCCATTAACACATATCCCTTTCTTTTGCCTTTCCATTGATTTAAATACAAAAAAATGTGTAGTTTCCACCTTTCACATGTAAAAGTAAGTAATGGTTTTCTATATCCGTTTAATTAATCATACGGATTCCCCTTCGACTTCTTATAACCCAATAACAAAGTCGACGACGACCTCAACGTCAATAACAGAAGCAGCTATCACCGCTGCGTAAAAATAAAACCCAGATAAGTAGCACAAGAAATCTTTAAACCTCAAGGACAAACACAGTTTAGTTGCTTGTCCTCAGGAGTACCTTTAAAGGGTGGATGCATTACTTTAGTAAACAATTCTTTTGAATATAACGGAACACATTTTCCGTTCTTTTACCTTCCCAATGATTTACATACGAGAACATGTAGTTTAGTATCCATCTTTCACATTTAAAATAGTAATGGTTTTGTACATTCGTTTGGTCAATCATACAGATTGCTCCTCGACTTCTAATAACGTGATGACAAAGTCTACGACGACCTCCTCAACGACGTTAACAGAAACAGCTATCAGCGGTGAGTAAAAACGAAACCCAGATAATACGAAATCTTTAAACCTCGAGGACCAATTCCCTTCAACACATTTTCTTCAGGGGTTGTTAATTGTCTTCAGGAGTACTTTTAAAGGAAGGAGGTGGGCGTACCTGACTAACGATGGCCCAGGGTCTAACTTCTATAGTTATATAGTTAGAGTTATATCTCTCACCTCTCTATATGTTCATTTGCACATGATGGTTTCTTTATTTATACGTATTCTTGTATTATCGATAATATCTGTAATATAACATTCTCGTTCGTTTTAGTGCGCTACTTTCTTGAAAATAATGTAAGACACAACCTTGACCAAAGAAATCGTCGTCATCCACGAACCCATAGTCCTTACCCATTTATATTATTCCTCTTTGTTACAAGAGTCCCCCATCGTCCCAATGTCTTCCTCAAACCGTCTCTTTTTAGGAAAAGAGTTGTTTTTGAACCTGATATACTTCAATTAAGTTACACATCTTAACCCAATAAATGATTAAGAACAAACATAAAATTTAGTATCACATTCATAATATTTGTTGAAATGTTATCGATACAAGCGTCTTCGCTTTGTGTATGACATCGTAAGACTTCGCAACGGGTGTATATATCTACAAGTTATCTACATTTGTATAAGATTAATGAATATACTTCAAATCTTTTAATCTAGAATCGTCTGGAATAATCTTCGTGACAGACGTCGGAGCAGAGACAATTTTTGTTGCGGAAATGCGGGATGAACTAGTGTTTACTCCCATCCTATCTGCCCCGCGACCACGTGGCATTACATATGATCCTGTGTCAAAGAAGATCTATTGGAGTGAGGGTCATCAGAGACGGATTATTCGAGCAGATATGAATGGTTCAAACATTGAGGCTATCACTCTTCCTGAAGAAATTTCTCCAGGTATAATGCAGTACAAAAGCTATAAGAAGAATAGTTAGTATGCTCCTATTACTATCATGATAATAATAATAATAATAATAATAATAATAATAGCCTAATAGTCCACTCCAAATTTTATTAAACCGAAACGGAAATTCTTTTTTGCCCAATTGATCGTGAGCCCGGCAGCCACTGAGCAGCGCCAGATCGACGTTGCTCTTTCCCTTATTGTTGAACGCCAAACAAGGTAGCAACAACTCCCATCTTTTAACGTCTTTTGGTATGACGCGGCCGGGGTTCGAACCCACGACCTCCCGGTTGTGTGGCGGACGCTCTACTGACTGAGCCAACACTGATGATGATGTTGATGAAGATGATGGTGATGTTGATGCTATTGATGATGATGATGATGATTATAATGATGACGACGATTACTACTACTACTACTACTACTACTACTACTACTAATACTACTACTACTTCTATTACAACCACTGCTACTACTACTAGTAATAGAATACCGAAGTGCTAACGTCATATTCGCTCATCGGTTACTGGTTGCGTATGATTTTCAACGCGAAATCATTCAACCAAGAGCTGGAGCAGGGCAAATTCAGTATTATGGTGCTGGTGTGATCACTACGCCATCGTTTAGCACAACATTTTTTGGAACCGGCAACATTAATAACTTGGCCAGTATAATTTCTATAACAAGAAGAAGAAAAAGATGATTATGAAGAAGAAAGATTGTATATATTTCTGATGTGAACAATTTATTTATCATCATTATAGTAATATCAGTTAATACTTTAGATTTCACATGAGGCTAATGCATTTGAACTTCTCGTCAACGAAATTGACTGTCAAATTGAATGCCGAAAATGAGGGTTACTTTGAAGACTCATTTATTACTTATGTACAGCCGGAATGGATGGAATCGCCATTGCAAACAAGTCGAGAACTCTCTACATCGCCTACCGACGGATAAATAAAATATCATCAATGTCGATCGCAGAGGACAGTCCACTACCATGGGATGTAACTGATTTTTTAACTGAGGGACTTATCGGGCCGAGAGAATTGGCTGTGGATGAAGAACAAGGGTAAGCACGCTTTCAAGCTCAAATTGAGTTTCAAAATTATTGTTTCAATACACACGCACACATTCACACACCACACCAAAGGTCACCCTCTGCTCCCGCGCGCACACTCACACACTCACGCACGCACGCCCACACAACACATACACACCAATCCAATGTTTCTCACTGAATTCAGGATAACGCAGAATGTTCTGTTAGAGCCCTTGACATAAGTGAGCAATTAATGAGCAAATAGTTTTGAGGGCTTCGTTAGAATTATTTGTTAGATGATTCAAACTGATGATTAAAGCGAACATAGGCCTGAAATAGAACTTCTGAATTTAGTTAAAGACAGCATCAACATATATCATCACCCTACAGGAAAATAGAGTCACAATCGACATTATCAAAAATCATTTTTTTGTGTTTCCTTGTTTATGCTTTAATAGAAGTCTCGTTTCTTACTCTAGATACCTGTACTGGTCCATGGACTATACTATAGCACGAACATTTCTCAATGGATCTGGAAATACTGAAGTGATATATAAGAGTGAAGATCTAAAGAATTTGACTGGGCTAACCATAGACCTTACAAGTAAGTATCCGCACTAGATACGTATTTTCTAACCATTACATTTTTTACCGTAAATTGTGGAAACATGTTAAACTTTTCTAACGGTCTCTTGTTTAATATATTCTATCAATGTAATGATTAAACCATTTTCTGAGTAAATGTTTACAATGATAGTAAAGTAGATTAACTTTTAGTTGATTTGTTGTCACTTTGCATTCAGGCGTAGTAAATATAAAATATCAAGAGTCAGTGCTCAGTTTCGAGTTACTTTTCAATTATGAGCTTCAAACTAATGCCTTTTTCGCGAAAGGTTGCGCGACATTACTGTTAACAGATGCTTTATTGGGTTTTGTTTCGACTACGATTTAGTGTTACAGTTAGGGTTAAGTTTATGATGAAACAAGTTTTCAAGTTCAAGTTGAGTTTCAAAATCATTGTTACTATACACACACGCACTTACACGAACCCACATACCCCTCACACACACGCACATACACACATACACACTAATCTAAACACCACCATCCCAAAGCACACCATCAGCACATGCGCTTACACACACGCACACACAAATAAAAAAAAAACACGCACCATGCCAAAATGTTTCTCACTACTTCCAGGATAACTTGCAGTTAGGGTTAGGGTTCCTATTGGATTCTAGGTTAAGTATAGGATTATAGCTTTGGTTAGGGTCGGGTACAGTGTTTGGTATCAGATTGAAGTTAACAATTTGTTCAGTGTTAGACCGTGGAACAAGTGTCACTGCAGCATGTGTCAAATGACCGTTTTTTGTTGTTATTTAAACCTCTGCCTCAAAGTAGTGACGGAGGCAATTTGTGTCTGTTTGTAAGTCAGTCCATAGGTCCCGCATTATAAGGGATTTATCAGGGAAAACAAGAAACACAACATCGCTAACGCCTTTCAAAAATCCTACATAAAACAATGGTTATTTCTTGAAAGTCTTAACGATCGTATTGTAGAGGAGGCGCAGTGAATTTCACATCTCCCTTTTTTTTATGTGCTACTTTGGAAATTTGTAGGAAAGGTACGGCGAGTCTTCTTCTGCGAATTTAACCAGAAGAAAACTTTGTACAAGGACGTTATCACATCTCCCAACGCATCAGATGTGTCCGAAGCCTACGAGTTGTCTGAATACCTTTATGATCCGAGTAACATAGCCCTCAAAGCAAGACACGTTACCTTCTACAATGATGCACTCTACTGCTTGCAACTGGCCGTTCCGCAGGGTATTGGTATCATGACCGATTACGATCAAACTAATCGATCCTATAATTTTCAAGAAATTAGTCAGTTTGTGACACCGTACCGAATGCACATTGCTTACATAATTGATTGATGTTTTTGTCGATTATACTCATATGAAGAGAAAGAAAAAAAAAATCTTTTGAGAAATTTGACTGCATAAGGTACAATGTCCTATATTAATCTACGTTTGGAACTCTTCACCCAGGTCTAGTAAATCACCGGTAGGAAGACAATCTTTGAAAGCCTGATCGCCTTATCATTGTTGCTCAGCAAAAGCTCGGGTAATGATATGATTGCAGGACCCTCAGGGAGAACATTATTAATACTGATGAGGCCATATTGGGTGAAAAAGACATATACATATATTTTCCATTTATATATTTATTATTATCATCATGGGTCCAAAACTCTGGAATAAGCTCCCTCTACAATTACGTCAACTGTCGTCGACAGAAACATTCAAATTACAACTAAAAACTTATTTGTTTCTTTCGTTGTAATTATTGCAATATTCTAACTTACTATGTCTAGGAGAATTTCGAATTTTGTTTTTCGGTTTATTGTTTTTTCTTCCTTATGTCTGTTACATGTACTTTTCTCTAAGCGCCATGAGCACCGAAAGGTGGACCTGTGCGCTATAAAAGTAGCCATTATCATTATTATTAGTAGTTGTAGTAGAAGTCTTATTATCTTTATGATTATTGTAAGTATCATTATATAGGAAATTCCTTAAATAATAATAATAATAATATATATATGTATATATAAATATGATATATCTTAATATTTCTTCTCGCATATAGATTTAAAACAAATATTACTTCATCCTGTTCGATTGAATATTTTTCTAATTACGTGCTTGAATATTGTGACTGAATATTTTGTTTATATTTCATTGCATCTTTTCGAAAGAGTTGATGGAACAGCGAGAGGTTTTAGAGCATTGAAGGGTGAACTCCTGTTTATTCTCAATACTTCTGTTGTTTCTCATTTCTTAATCATAAGTCAGATATTGCTTGCCAGATTTAATTATGTCATTTATATTTTAATATAGGGCCTTTGATAAAGAAAAAGCTGAATACTTGTGATAACATAATTCTGGTAAAAACTGTCTTGATGTTATAAGAAATGTTTATAATAAAGAAAATAGCATATAGCATATTGTATCGTGAGTTTTTAGAATCGTTTTGATGGCCAAGGTAAGATGTACAATCAATTTAGCTGGGAACAAAATACAATGCGAAAAGGAATGTACACAAAAATGGGTGTATGGGACTAACACTATGAACATGACGGACAAAGAAAGCGGACAGGATCTACTGTTCCTCATTCTACCCTCAACAATGTCTGTGGTAGACAAAGGAACATCCCTTCACTGTTGTTATGTAAAAATGTGTAGAACAGGTGAATATGCATGTGACACCTGTTCTACAGATTATTACATATAGCAGTGAAGGGATGTTCCTTTATCTACCATAGCAATTGTTGAGGGTAAAATGAGGAACTGTATATTTTGTCAGCTTTCTTTGTCCGTCATGTTAATAGTGTAAACACATAGGCCCGAATTAAGGAGGTTTGTTGACAAACCTTGGTTTTCGTACGTCATATGACGCTTTTTACGCGTTTTCTACAAACCTGGTTTGTAAAGAACAAAAGGAGGTTTGGCGAAACAAAAGGAGGTTTGAGCTCAAACCTTGGTCTGAGCTCAAACCTTGCTTTGTGAATTCGGGCCATATAGTCTATATTTAAAGGTGTGGTCCAAATTATTTCTATTATACTTCAAATAAAATGTCATTCGAAAAAACCATTTCTTTTCAAACGGGCTTTTTAATTATTACATTGTATGTTTATTTCTACATGAATATATTTTATTTGTATATGTATAACTAGATCGCATAGACTTTCGAGAAATTAACCTCGGCCATTTCAATAGATTTGTCACCCACCCTGTGAAATCATGCGAACATTATGTATGACGTAATCAGAACATGATATTTGATTGCCCTTGAGTTGGTTTATCGAATGTCTTTGCAGTCGCAGAGACTCCAACCCTGAGCATCACCCTAAACTGCAGATTCTCCCGCCTAAACATCTTGATCAACTGACGACTCAGAGGCGAACAATTCTATACGAAGGTAGACGAGATAACATCACTTAACCACTTGACTGCTTTTGGCTTAAAACGCGTTCATACCCCTTGTGCTACAGCATTTTTGTACTGTACAAAAACCTGTCAAAAATTGTACACTGTACACATCAAAAGCCAATTTTTTGGAAGATCGCCATCTACTGTTTAACACCTGTATAACATCATTGCAGTGCTAATTACACAGTAGGGCTTGGCATTATGCATTTCTACAGTCTTGAAAGTGCAACGCCCTAAGCACTTACAATTATGTACGTGGTACGCACAGGCATGCAAGAGCGAGAACACGTACATGTAAGTGGGTAGCAGTCAAGTGGTTAAAACCCGTCTGCACTAGTTTCGCCAGGGGGATTAGACCTCCCTTCAAGGTCACCGACAGGTGGATATCTCTTCAAATCAGCTCCCAATTAACATAAGCAAAAGGGGATCACGGGGGACCAACATGCACATATTACTATTGTTTGCTATATAGAGGGCGCATGTAGCTACAAGTAGTGCAATGGGGCTTTAAAGAACCTAATGTCGCTAATGAATAGACACATAACATAATCATAAACAGCGTTTTAGTTTGCATTCGTGTGGCTTTTGCGGTACATCTAACAAATCTATGGTGATGACGGTGATGATAATGTCAATGATTATAATGATAATGATAATTATTATGTTAAAAAATATAATGAAAATGGTTATAAAAATGTTATCAGCATTATTATTGTTTTCATAGGTATCATTATTATTTAAAATTAACATCAGGGTTCATAATTAAGTACAAGATGACTAAAAGAAATTGTAGTAGAGATGTTCGGTTAAAAAAAAAGTCCTAGTAAAACCGGTCCAAGTCTATGAAGATAAAAATCAAATGCGCCTTTTCATTACTCAACTTGGATATATTACTGACTGCTCCTTCTGTCAGAGTCTCAGTCTTAAATATATGATAATAAGATAGTGTTGCAAGTAAACCCCAAATTCACAATTTACCCCGGGTTAGTCATTATAATTCATGGTCTGACCCCTGCATCAAGGAATAAATAATTATACATTCTGTATAAGTATGTACAATAAAAGACACACATATAAAACTGTATTTAACAGGTTTTTTTCCCCCATCACTGACGAGTTAATTGCCACAATTCAATTAAACGAACTTGTATGCGCTAATGCACTTCAGTTCCTTCACACTGTAGCTTCAGTGGAAGAGAATAAAACTCGAGCAGAAGAACGGCAGCTTTTGGCAAAATAACTCTAAAGCGGGAGAGTTGGAGTCTCCGCGGTCGTGTCATATTTAATAATAAAATAATTGAGTAGAATGTGCTAAACTTGCATTTTCTTACGTATGCAATGTCGATAAAATCAAAATTTTACTTCTTGTTATATTGCAAGGATGTGATAATGCTTTGAAAAATTATATGTAATTTGATATGTCACCTATTCCAAGTAGACCTACAAATAAACTAACATATATTAGTTGTAGGTAAGGATATAGGAAACAAGAAATATACTTCCCTGAATATTATTTTAGATTATGCGCAATATGAAATCTATAAATTTTAGGATGGAAAGATTGTCAATGGTTCCGTTAATTACCCGTATGCTTTTCTTTTTATATTCAAGTCGTTGCTAAGATTGATTTTTAAGGTATGAATGTGTTAGCAACAAAAATTATACTAAGCTGAGAGAATTGTTGAATATACTTTAATTTTTAGCCAATGTTATTAATGTAAATATGTATTGGTATTATAGGAATAAAACCCTTGCTTGAGGAAAAGAAAGAAAGAAAAATGTCAATAACATCTTGTAATTTGTAAAGCTATATTAGCGTATATGTATTGCACAATGCATTCAAAACAGTATATCTTTTCAAAATGAACGAATTTTTGTTCACTTTTCCTCAAAATTTCATCAAACTGATTCCTTGATTTTTCTTTCACATCTCCACACATTACCACCCACATATCTGACTTCTGAAGAAGAAGACGAGTTCACTGTGGTCACTTTCACTTTCCGGTACCCAGAGCCAGCCTAGTTCGAATTAACGAAGATAAATTTATCCTCATTTAGCTGTTAATTGAAGATAAATTTATCCTCATTTAGCTGTTAAATGAGGATAAATTTATCTTCATTTAACAGCTAAATGAGGATAAATTTATCTTCATTTAACAGCTAAATGAGGATAAATTTATCTTCATTTAACAGCTAAATGAGGATAAATTTATCTTCATTTAACAGCTAAATGAGGATAAATTTATCTTCATTTAACAGCTAAATGAGGATAAATTTATCTTCATTTAACAGCTAAATGAAGATAAATTTATCTTCGTTAACACATCTAAATGAGGATAAATTTATCTTCATTTAACAGCTAAATGAGGATAAATTTATCTTCATTTAACAGCTAAATGAGGATAAATTTATCTTCATTTAACAGCTAAATGAGGATAAATTTATCTTCATTTAACAGCTAAATGAAGATAAATTTATCTTCGTTAACACAGCTAAATGAGGATAAATTTATCTTCATTTAACAGCTAAATGAGGATAAATTTATCTTCATTTAACAGCTAAATGAGGATAAATTTATCTTCATTTAACAGCTAAATGAAGATAAATTTATCTTCATTTAACAGCTAGATGAAGATAAATTTATCTTCATTTAACATGAGGATAAATTTATCCTCATTTAGCTGTAAAATGAAGATAAATTTATCCTCATTAAACTGTGTTAACGAAGATACCGGACAGCGAAAGCGACCACGTCGTCTTCTTGTTCTTCGTCGTAGCCAAAGGCAAAACTATAACTCTGGCAGGTTCCGAAGTCAATGACATCGAATTCAAAACGCGTTATAAAAGAAAAACGTAAAAGATTGTGGACAACATGCATGCAACCGCGAGTGATGACGTCGAATCGAAGAGTGATTTGAATTTGGCGCGTGTTATATGCTTGTGTTGTTGTTGTTCTTGCCCACACTTTGTATACTGTGTAGGCGGCAAGATCAGTACAAAGCTCTGTGTTTACAAACAATGGACACTGGCCGCGCGCGGCTATTGTTCTCCCTGTGGGTTAAGGTTGTAGCTAGTCTGCAGACACAGACCCTTGACAGCCATTATGAGTAAAAACAATGTCTAAATTTCAAACATGAGAGTACTGAGTTATGTCATGTAGCTGCTTCTGACACAGTAAAATACT